TGGGCTACAAAGTAAATTGAACACCAACCTGAACTGCATAGTGAGATCCTATGTCAAAAGACAAGAAAAGAACAAAAGAAAGAAAGAAAGAAAGAGAAAGAAAGAAAGAAAAGAGGAAAGAGAGAAAAGGAAAGAGAGAAAAGGCAGAGAAAATAAACCATGCAATAAAAGTTGAAAAATCAAAACTTAACTCCCCACCAAAAGAAAGAAAAAAAAAAAATAGGGAAAAGCAGTTCCTCTGGGGCCTGCAGCTTTGCATGAGTTCTGTAGTCAGAGCCGGAATCTGTACTGCATAACCCTGCCAAGTCTGCAGTGAATTATTGCAGGGTGTCGGACTGATCTTGGCCGCACCACTGACTCCCTTCAGCCCCTGGACATAGGGCAGGGGGGCAGCCTTTGTCCAGCCACTGGCCAAGGCTGTTTACTTGCTTGTGTTGCCAGCCACAGAGCAGGGGCCTGCTTTTAGTCCCTTGTACCTAGGGCTAATACTGGGTTTTGGTGGCCACCAGAACTGAGTTTAGGAGTCCCAGTTTCTATTTCTCAGCAGAATTTTCCCCAGTGTGCTGTCCAACTGCCACCTGTCTACTGTGACTGAAGACCCATCCCTCATTCCACCTCTGGCCCTTAACAGTGAAGCAACCCTGGCTCTATTCTGCTATTGGAGTTTGAGCCTCCAGCCTTTTGAGGCAAAGGGGTGACCTCATCCACCCACTGGTGCTTCTCCATGCAGCTGTGTGTCAGACGCTGCTCTGGCTCACTTGCCAATTACTGACTCCGAGGGCTGCTCAGGAAACGGTGTCTCATGCTCTCAGTGAAGCCTCCCACTGCACAGACTTCCTTGGTCCGGGTTGTGTCTCCATCTGCTCTTCCCATACCGTGCAGTCTCTGCCTGAGAGCCACTTATTCTGCAGCAGTGAATCCTGTTTCTTTTCCTCTTCCAGTTTCCTCATCGGTCCTTGTATGTCTTGTACTCTGGTTCCTCTCTGACTGTTTTTCCTGACTCTCAGCATTTCGTCCTGAATTATTTGAGTTGCTGTCACTCACAAATCTGCCATTTTATACAATCAAATGGACAATTTTCTTAGGTAGCAGAGAGAAAAAAAAACTGCCTTGGGAAGTTATTAAATGCAAGAAAATCTATTATTGTTTGCAATTCTGAACAGAAGAAAAATTTTTAATTTTTATTTATTGCATCCTATAAAACATTTCCAAAGAGGAAACCCTCTCCAGCAAACATGATAATAAATTTTAAAAATTATCAATTTTGAGGGTATAGGCAACTACTTTGAAGGCAATAAGATTCACTATGATGCCCATTCTGGTTTGACTATTATCTTCTTTTGAAGTCCTGTAATGTCTCCAATGTTTAGGTTTTATTGGTTTTGTTCTGTACTGTTTTGTTCAATTTTATTATACCTGATGATATACGCAATTCTTTTTAAGGTAGCAAAAGGGATTATGGTAACCATTGTTGATTCCCTTGTATTCTGTTTTCACATCATGTACTATGTCCATCCTTTGTTCTGACTGACTGCTTTGTTTTGTCACATTTGATTTTATTCTCTTCCAAAAAAAAAAAAACGTAATAAGAACTATGGGAGTAATAAAACCCCAAATGTGTAAATGTTATTGTAAAAAAGAGAGGAAAAGAAAGTGCTCTAAAGGGCACAACTGCAAGTGTGTTTAGGTGTGTAAGACAGATGACCATATTACTAAGTTTTTGTCGGATCATTGAACAAAACTGTTTGCAGTCTCACTGTTTGAATGTCCCCTTCATATGATTAATTTTGTAACTTGATCAACTATTTCTAAGATGACAATATGTAATCTATTAACTAGTGATTTCTTACTTTTTTTTGAAATTCTGTATTACATGTATCCTTTTACTGTTTTTTTCTTTAAATAAAAAAGAAGAACCACAAAAAATTCATCAATAGTTTGAGTAATTCTGAGTAACATTTTTCTTGATTAGCATACATTGTTTCCTTTATGAGTTAAATTGTAGGTTTAGAACATTATTTTAGGGGGAAAATTACTATTTTCAAAATCCACATATATCAAATTGTTGTTGTTACTTTTCTCATTACTGAGACAAAATACCTGGCACCAGAAGTTAAAGGAGAGAAGGTTTATTTAGCTCACAGTTTGCGGAGGCTTCAGTTCATAAGGAGCAAATTTGAGGCAAGATAGCATGGCAGAGGACATCACAGAGGAGAAACAGTCATGGCAGGCAGAAGGCAGTGGACAGCAAGCAGCAGCAGCAACCCTGCTCCTTTCTGTCCCTTTGTATCCCATCCAGGTCTATTGATTGGTGTCACCCACACCCAGTGTGGGGCTTCTGTTGTCCACACCCTTAATCCCAGAATCACACTCTTTAATACATATTCCCAGACCCTAAATCCAGCCAACTCTGAAAAGTCCCACCTATGAGTAGAGGAGGTTTTGGGGGAATATCTAGATACACACCAAAATAAAAATATATCACATTTATCACCAAATATTCCACTTCAAATAGAGGTGAAACTTCTATTTTATTTTCTCAAAACTACTGCTAATAAAGTAACATAAAGTGATACTATTTTGACAGGATCTAATATTAAATGTTAAAGCTGCCCATAGAAAGTTATTGTGTACAAAATCACAGAGCAAAATGAATTTAGAAGTGAAAAATTCCTTTGTAATGTCTATTCTATTCTCTTTCTTTATTCTGATTTTTAAAAAAATCATTCTCTACTGAGAGTAGCCAACACATTTTCATCGCCTTATTTTCTCCTACACAATTTTGATATATTTCACATTTTACTTTACATATTATATCCTGGGTGAGTTTCATTTCACTGTCTATATGAATTCTACTCAGTCTTATTCCAGCTCTATTTCATTTCCGTGAAAGATATTGAATTTTAAGGTTGTCTTTTATAAAAGTTATGCTCCAAGATGAATGAAACAAACTTGGCAACAAAAAACTGAAAATTAAAGGAGAATTTGTGGTTGGTAAAAAAGAAATCATCTAGACCTCTAAGGTCGGTGTTGTAGGTACTGCACGCCGTTGGATATCTTGTGTGCAAATTAGCCTGCTTCTTACAGGCTGCTCCAATTCAAGAGTCTTATCCTCAGAGGGTGAAATGTGTTTCAGGTTTTCTAGACTCTTCTAATGCCCTACATCTTATGTGATGCTCAACTTTATTTCTGTAACATGAGCTAGAGGACCCGCTTCCTCTTTGAAAAGGGAAACTTCATTACTACTTCAGTCTTCCAGGCTGTGAATGGTCTTTCCACTCCCTGGCTTCCCTTCACCTTTAAATCAAATCGAGGTAATTGAGATTCTTGGACAGGCTTTCATGCCCTCTGGTGGATGTTTACAGAAAGACTCACATACTTGATCAGTAAGAAAAATCTCACTGAAAAAGTAAACACTATAGTATGAGAAGAAAATGAATTTGGTCCTGTCAGAATTAAAATCTTAGATGCTCAGTTTAAGTAGAACTATAAAAACCTATCAAAGAACTAAAAATGCAGACAAAGATTTTCAGAGATGACAGAAGAAGAACATAGATTTATCTTTTAAACTTTCTTTTAACATGTCATGAGAATCAAAAACTTAAAAAAGATAGTTATTATTTACAGAGGTTTTTATGGGCCAAACACAAACATCTGGTACAGAATTTTAAAATCTCTCTATGGAGATCAATGTGATCTCAGTTAATCACCTGCTGTTCAAAAGAAAAACTGATGAAAACTCAATTATTATAACTAATACCAATAATATTTGCTGCAAAAATATATGAAGGACCTTGCAGCAAACTTAGCACGCAACAAACAGTGAATTAGTTTATCAACACTGAATGAAAATTAACCTGTGATACTTATTAAGACAACTTTGTCAGAAAAGTTTCTATGAAAATAAGCCTCCTTTACCACCCCACCCATCCACCTTTTCTAACACTTCCATCCAAGCTCCCCGAAGTAACAGTCATCATACACCAAATATTTAAGTGAAAGTCACTTAGTAAAATCTGATTGCTTGATCTCTTACTTTAATTAGTTTTTAAAATCTTTAGCTGTATTTTCTAGATTTGATCACATTTTTCTAAATATTAATTATAATGTCTGCCTGCTCTGCAATTGAAAGGGATTTAACATACATGGAGTAAAAACAGCATTCTACCTAGAGCAATGTATTTGCAATCAATATAATTATGTGCCACATTCTCTGATCTGTATTTTTGTGACCACTTTTGAAATTACAATTTTGTAATGAAAAGGTATCTAGAATAGAAATTTAAAGAAAATGCCCAGTCTCTAGTCTTCCTTCTCAAACTAAGTTGCTACCTATCTTGTGCAATTAAAATATTCTTTCAGGATCCACATTTTCTCATCTATGGTATGAAGCCAGTGACACCTACATGCAAGCATTTGTGTACATTCTTTATTTTTAATTGATGGATGACCATTATACATATTCTCAGGGTACTTTAAGATATGTTGCCACTTGTTCATTGCATGGTTATCACATCAAAGTAAGTAGTAAATCTATCATTTCAAATGTTTAAAGCAGAATTATTTGAGATTTTTCAACTGTCCAAGTAATATACACACATCATTGAATAGTTAGAAAATCCTGAAACTTTGGTAAAAATTAAAATCACTTGTAATCACATCACCTAAAAGATGTATTTAATAGTTTAAATCTTCTCAAATTTCCTTCCTCTCTCACTTTGCTGGTTTGGAGTTAACAAATCATCTTGTTGTGTAATTATATGTTTGTTTTTATTCAAGTAATCTTATATATTTGGTTTTAAAATAAAATACTGTATTACTAAGATTCTCGATAAACAGAACTTTTCTGTTCTTACTCTGCAAATCATTTATCTGTCACAGTTCTCAAGACCCAGATTGCTCACTTCAAATCTTTGTTATTAATATATAGGGTCTAACTTACAAATCATGTGCTTTATCACTGTGGGATTTTTCTTTAGCTGTATATACTATTAATTGATTTTCCATAATCTGGGATTGAGGATTTAAATTTCTATGACATCTTGCACCCTTCCCTCATACACAGTTTTCTTCTCTAGAGATCTGCAATGTAAATAACACATATTTGAAAACATTAATTTAATAATTTTAATTAATTTGGCAATGTTGTTTATACCACTCATAGTTAAACATTTTAAACAGTAGTGATTCTTTGTATTGCTCATAGCGTAATCATTTTTTTACTTAATTCAAGTTTTATATTTAGATTGCTTTGTTTTCACATTGTTTCACTTTTTGTCGATCATTAATTTCTGACTACATTTACACTTGATTTCACTCCGCAATCACTCTTATCCTCCAGCAGTATTGTCTTTTCAGGTTCTGATTGGAGCCACTTCGTCCAGCTACTGCAATGCCATGTCCATGTAGACTCACTTTCTGATAATTTTTGAAATTCTTTTGACTTTAATCTTGGGCACTTCTGGATTGCTTCACTTCAGAGATGCTTGATTATTGTCAACTTCTTCCCTGAAAACGCTTAGCAAAGTGGAGAATCTTGAAACCTCATTCAGATATGACAATCATTTACGTTCATGTCAATCGTCCCAGGTACTGAGATCTTAGGGATAAGTCCTGCCACCTTTTCACTACATGGTCTCATCATTCTTGTGGATTAAATGCATTTCTATTCCTTTACTGCAACCCTGTTGGGTTCCTCAAGGGAGATGTGTTTGTTCTACCATGGATAGCTTCAAGTCGGGAATAGCCAGCTCTCAAAACTGTCATGAGAATAAAATCTGAGAGTGTGTATGCATCCAGTCTGTACACTAATTTGTCCACACATATCAAGCTTCACTAAAGACATCATCACATGTTTGCTGTTTCATCAGACCTCTTTCATCCATGGACACAAAGAAGTTTACGTTAACACCACTCAGATAGTTGTCCCTGGATTTCACTTGGCCTTTATAAGACCTCTTTTCCATTAAATTCTCATCCAATGACTTTTTGGCATTTCCACTACTGGGACTGTTACTTAAAAACATTTGCTTGAATGCACACTAAGTACCAAGTAAACTGCTTTAGATCCTTACAGTACAAACCAGTGAAAAAGACAATGATCTTTTGACTCATTTATTTTTGTTCTTGGCAAGAAAGACAAACTCCAATCTACAAATAGAATTTAGCTATGACATGTAGGAGCATATGTTATATGCTATAGATAAAAAGGTACTCGAGTTGCGAAAGTGGTGGATACCAGGGCTGGCAGAAACTGTTCTTTAAAGCACAAATTGAAAATGAGTCTCACTGAGAAGGTAACCTTTAAGGAATGGCTACAAAGAGGGGAAGAGAAGAAGCAATGCTGATGCCTAAAATGAACACTGTTATAAGCAAAAAAGAACAAGAGTGTTAAACCCTCGAGCATGGAAGGGAACAGAAAATATATTACCCAGTAGACTTGAGGATAGTGTTCTTAGAACAAAGGAGTAAAGGAAAGAGTAATAAGGAAAGAAACTCAAAGGGGTACAGATCTCATAAGGCAGGTGTGAAGGCCTTTGGTATATTTTCTTTAGTTGAAGCATAGAATCTTTGGGGTTTAGTGAACAGGCATGATTTTTCTGATATTGTTAAAAGATTACCCTTGTTATTAAAGTTGGACTATGTCATATATTAGCAGGGAAATTCAGATTAAACCAATTCTAAAATAACACCACAGGCTGATCACAGTGGCTGCTATATTTTATATCTAGATGTCTCAGCAAAGCCATGCTAGGTGGGGCTTTGGGGAGGTGACTGGGTTACGCCACACAATATATTTGCCTTGCTGTTGGAAGGTGAAGATGTGGTTGCTGGGGGAATGGCCTGGAATGGTTCATCTTCCTTTGCGACTTCTCTCTTGGGCTTTCTCTCCTTCCTGTCTCCTTCCCCGGAGCAGCTCCCCTCTGCCATGCTGCTCCACACTGCAGCCACTGGACTATGAACTGAAACCTCCACAAGCTGTGACTCAACATAACCTTCTCCCTCTTTAATTTTCTCGGGTCAGGGTTTTTGTCAAAGCAAACTGGACCAAAATACAGAACATTCACTGCACCAAATGCTGGGAATGATGAGAAGCCACAGGATCTTCCATTCATTGATGTACGAACAACAAAATGGTGCAATCACTTTGGAAGACAGGAAGTTTGTTAAAAATTTAAACAGGCTATATCCTACTACCATCTTCTTGATATTTATCTCAGGAGCTGAAAATATATTTCCACACAAAAACTTGCACATGTGTATGGATAGCAGCTTTGTCCCTAATTGCTGAAATTTAGAAAAATCGAGGTGGCTGTCTGTATGCAAATTGATAAACAAATGATTGCACACAAAGGCAATGGGATCTTAGTACTGAGGTAACATAGAGTACCAACTGAGGAAAAGACAAAGGAATCTCACACATATTACAAAGACAAAGAGCAAGAGAGAAAAGACAAAACTACTAGCTGACTCCAACTATATGCTACACCATCAAAACAGCCAGTGGCTGCCAGTGATTTGAGGAGAGGGCACACTGGATAAGCAGAGTAAAGTGTGTAATCAGGGCAGAGAATCTATTCTGCATGACAGTGCAATGGTAGGCCGATGAATTTATAAGTTTGCCAAACACATAAAATGTACCACACCAAGAGTTAAGATTAGTATTAACCAAATTCATTGGGTGATAGTAATATGTCAGGGTACTTTTATCAGTTAGCAAATGTGCCCCTCCAGGGAAGGCTATTGGTAACAATGGAGTACATACAGGTGCAAGGATGAGCTACATGGAAAATATCTTCACCTACTGCTCAGTGTTGGTGTAGACCTGAAGCTACTCTTAAAAAGAAAATGAAAAATTACTAGAGCTACTATTTTATAAATTGAAAATAGGAGCAAAGGCCATAGAAAAAGAAACAGTTTAAATGCTATTTCAGTAACCAGGCAAAGACTGAGGCTGAGTGTCTTTCTAGACATATAGTAGGTAAAGATCCTTGAATGTTCAATGTATTTTAAAAGAATAGTCAGCAAACCTTCCTGAAGAGAATGGATATAAAAAAATAACAGAAAGAGAATACTCACATTTTGTTTAACACTCACAGTTTTTAACCTGAGCAACAGAAGGAGTGCAGTTGTCATTAGCTAAGATGAGTGAGATTTCACTAAAACAGGACTGGGAAAAGATTACGAGCTCAGTTTGGTCAAGTTAAATCTCAGATCGATTGATAACCAAGAGGATATGTCAATTGCTTTGTACAGGAAATTTACTGAACACCATGTGGCATCTGGTATAGGTTTTCCCCCCCTCCTGCCCTGCCACTCCCGAATCCTTTGCAAATGTATGAGTGCTACTTCTGCAGTCAGAGTCCTCAGTGAGAATACAGATACCTATGCCAAAGTTTCTTATTATGCCAAGCTTTAAGGAACTGCAGAAAAACCTTAGTACCTGAAAAACACACTAACACGGAAAATGGGAATTTTCTCCTCCCTTTCTCCATATTGGAATTGCATATGCTTAATGACTTAAGGAACTTGCTTCTGCCTACAAATTCTCCTTCCTTGAGCTGAGGAGCTTCCTATGGGGAGATTTCCAATCACATTCCCTTCTTCATTTACTTCTCCTTTTACCCTAACTCACACATTTTATCTTTTTGGTTCTAGCATTGAATGTGTCAGAATTTCTGCTTATGCTACTGTTAAATTATGATCATTGGTATTGGGAAAGAGGGAAGAGATCAGACAGAGGTGGAAAGCTGGTATTAATCATTAGCATTATGTGTAATAGAGAGGGATCCCCAATTTAAATAGAGGTGACTCTAATCTTACTTCATTCTTCCTTCTTTGAGTATGAATGAAGAGATATTTACTTTGCTGTATAACAGCAGCAGTGTATCAAGAGTCTACCAATTCATAATTAAAACATGTCTCTGAACAAAACTCTTTCTTACATCCATTCTTTCATCTATCTGTCCTTTTCAGACTATATTAAAAGAATTTGAGGAATTTCTACTAAATGAAAGAATTGTGCCTATTTGATGGTTTAAAATTACAGATACTTGTAATATTTTCAGTAGAGCATCCACATCTACAACCCGCTTTTCAGAACATCTTCATATGAAGGTGGAGAGCCCAGGGTGCCAAAACATGGAACAGGATGGCGCTCCAGGTTTTGAGTTTGAAAATGAAATCTAACAGTTGGATTCACAGCTGCTTCTGTCCCTGGAAAGAAACACGCAGACACGAAATCTTTCTATTTTGCACAAAACAGAATCACAGACACTGATGAGAGCTGGCATTTCTAGGTTCACTGGAGCAAGAGGGAATTATTTCTATCTTTGAGAAAAAATTTATAATCATCATTCTCTGTACAGCGGTTGTTTAGTCACTATAAGGAGAAAATTTCCTCCAATGAATTGGTTATATCATCATTGACACCAGGAGATATTCATGATTTAGGAACTAAATCTAGAAGGAATACAGTCTTGGTGTACTATAGGTCACAAGGGAAGAGTTCCTTAAACACCCTTGTGTTTTAGTTAAGTCTCCTGTCATGGGAGCTAATCTCACTAGAAACACTGAAATTTCACATTCTAAACTTTGTTGTTTTACGTTTATGTCTAACAACTGAAATTAATAAATAATGACTTTAAACATTTCCTTACAATAATACTAAATTTTTTAGATAGATTTTTATTTAAGGTATACGCACATAATAATGAGAAAGCATTCCAAACTTTAGTACTTTGAAATAAAAGTTCTTTTTTTCACTAGGGTACAATCCTTAACCACTTTTCAAAAAGCTTTTTTCCCCCCATAAACTGGACACGTTGAGAGACCTCAACCATTTACATGTAACTTAGAAATGTACTGTTATTTCCTTGAAAGATTATTTTTCTCATTTTTATAATTTAATTTTAAAAATCAAAACAAAAAAGGATAAAAATAATACAAAATTTCAAAAAATAGTAGGAAATTAACACTAGCTAATGTACCACATAACGTTGCCTTACATGTAGATGCTCAGGTTACAAAATCTAGACATGAAAAAAAATCAGACAATGAAAGCAAAAACTATTCTTTTTTTGATTGACTAACAGAGATTAGTAGTATAGTTGGCTATTTTGTATATATACTTATTTACATATAATCATTTTCCTTCTTCTTTTTCTCCTTTCCCCTATCCCAGTGGCAAATAAATACATGAAGAAATGTTCAGCATCACTGCTCATTCACAAAAGATTAGTTTTTGAGTAATGGAGGAAATCAATAGTAATTTTTATGACCCTTTCTTTTTATATATTTTTTAACTTGGATCTTTACCTGACTTTGAATATTTTTGATTACTCCATTCCAAAACAGTATTGATAAGCATAAACTTACATTCAGAGAAAAAAATCTAGGTTCCCAGAATATATATGCCCTTGACTGTTTCTGTATATTACATTTATTTGGAACACAGCAACTGTACATGTTTATTTACATACAGTCTGTAGCTGCTTTTGACCCACAATGGCTGAGCTGAGCAGACCCCAAAATGACTGCGCATATAGTAAAGCCAAAAGTATATTTCATCTGTCTTTTAACAGGAGATGTTTGCCTTCCTTCTGTAAAGGATTAAGATGAGGTACCATTGGGAAGATTCCAAAGAACGTGCCAAAATTACCAAATGAATTTGAAGAGCTGTCACTTGTTAGGACTTAGTTGTATCTCTGGATCCCATATGTAGGCTATGGTTATTTTGATGTGGAAAATGATAATTTTTTTGTCTTTTTCATTTATTATCGGTATCAGGGATCTAGGAAGGCGCTTATGCCACTGAGCTAAATCCCCAGCCCCTGGAGAATGATAATTTAGAGCCACATATTTTTCCCACATTTGTATTTACATTATTTCTGACCTTGCTGATTCTCATATCAAAGTATAATTCCTACCATATGTGAAGGGTAGAGCTACATTTAGAAAATGTTTCACTTTTCGGTTCAATACTTTTCTGTTTTTAAATTTTATTTTAGAGTGAAAAAAACAAAAATAATGAAACACAATTTCAGAAAAAGATATTAGGAGCATAACTACAGTTAATATATTAAATATTGTTATTACTAAAGTAGTTGTTCAGAGTATAAAATACAGGCATGAAAGGTTGACCAAACCATAGAAGCAAAAGCATTTATTTTCAGTGAACTAACAGAAATTAGTAGTGTAACTGTTTTAATTATCTTTACATAATTATCTTTATATTTTAGTAGTGTAACTTAAATATCTTATATATATATATATATATATATATATATATATATATATATATTCACCTCCTTCCTTTTCTTCTTTTCCTCATTCTGATTTTTCTTTACTTTTGAATTTAATAATGTTGAACAATTTTTCATACATTTATTTGCCATTTGTATTTCTTCATCTCAGAGATATGCATTAGTCTCAGATGCCCATGTTTGAATTGGTTATTTGAATTTGGGGGATCTGATTTGTTTTTCAATTCTTTATATGTTTAGATATATCGTTTGTCTCCAAGAGAGATGGCTATAGTATTTTCCCACTCTTTGAATTGTCTCTTCATCGTGTTGGTGGTTACTTTGCTGTGCAAAAGCTCTTTTCAATAAGATAACATCTTATCTTATTAAAAACAGCATTTGTTTATTTTTGTGGTGCTTCCCAAGAAGTCTGGGTTTTGTTTTTGCAGTGCTTGCCTATTCCTGACTCTTCCAGATTTCTACCTACTTTCTTTTCTGGTAGATTTTGTGTTTCTGTTTTAATATTTAGATCACTGATCCATTTTGACTTCAGTGCATGGTGATAGACACGTGTCTAATTTTAGTCTTTGCCTTGTGGAAAGCCAGCTTCTTTCAGCACCATCTACTAAAGAGGCTTTCTTTCTTCCAGTGTACGTGTTTGACCCCCATTTCAAAGTTAAGGTGGGTGACTGTTTTAGCAAGTTATTTATTTAATTTGCTAATCCATTTCGAGTGTATTATGTAGTATTCATTTACTTCTGCTTCCTTTTACACAATAAAAGGACAATGATAGTATCCTACTCAATAAAAGTAAGACTAAATGAATATACAGTATTAAAAAGAGGCTGTCTCACAGGAAAGGGTTATTACATGAAGAACTGTAATATGCTAGCAATATTGTATGATACAACTTCATCTCTCTTATTTTAATGGTTAATGATTTACTCATTACCATTATTCACTGTAATAAGAGTTATTATATAATAAACATCATGGAGGGTTGTCTTTTTCAGTTCACAAATGTAAGCTGAAATCAGCTAAGTCTATGAGACTTGTACGGAGAGTTAAAGTGGAAAAACGCACTGGCCCCTAAACCTCTCTCTGTGCGTACTGATACTGAACATTGACTATTTTCCTGCTTCCGGTGTAGTCAATGTAAGGTCAATGATAACTTCGCTATCTTTCCACCCAGGAATTGTTGACCAGTGGACTGTATATGTTTATAATTTGTGCTAGCTCCAATTTATTTCTACTGCTGTCATTATCAGTATCATGCTGCAGGTGATAGAATCTCAACAGCTGCTCTCTGTGGTAAGATAGTTTTACTATCTTATTACTCAGAATTTAGTGGTTGCTCTTAAACTTGATACAAAAAGCCATAAGGCATTGATTGATAAACATAACTAAGCCAATGCACTCAGGAGCTTGTGAAATAGAACATTTATCAATTTGCAAGATTTTTCAAAGAGTATTTAATGTGAAATTTCATGTGATGGTATATGGAAAGATATATATTATTTTTAAACCTTCCAGGAAGCTAAGAATCAAACAGAAATCAGTTTAAAACTTTTACAAAAGTCCTGCAGTTTCTCCAGAATTGCTGGCTCGGGTATGGGAATTTATGGTTTAATTTCGTAAAACCATTACACTAATTGCTGAGTATTAAAGCCAGAGTTCAGATTTCCCACATTGTTAAGGATAATTTCAATAGATTGGATTTTTAAACATGCTTTTTCTACCTTTTTTTATCTCTTTTCTTTTTTAAAAATGTTATTCATTCCTCACATACGCAGTTGCGAAAAATTCTGAATTTGAGTCATAGTTCTCCTAGGTAATGTCTACTTTTTTTGTTTGTTTTTGTAAAGTACTAGGGGTTGAACACAGAGCCTCCAGACTGTGCTATATTTTCAGTCTTTTTAAAAATTTCTAATCTTGAATCAATAGGTTGTCCTGGCTGGGCTCAAAATTGAGATCTTCCTGCCCCATGGTCCCAGAATGCTAGGATAATAGATAGGCACGTGTCACAATGCCTACCTTTCTGTGTGGCTTAATCTGTTAGAACCTTCTTTTCCTCGTCCGCGGAAGAGTGAGATGGCAGTTAAGAGTGATCATTAGCCCCTCATAGAATTGTAAGAAACAACAAATGGGATTTGCAGTATCAAGAGCATGGCACAGAGTAACTGCTCAATAAACTCGAGTGCTTACTGTTATGCTCTTTCACAAGCAGGTGGAATTAGGTGCTCCCTCATTCCTTACCTAAGATGAGCTACACTGTATTTAAACACAAACCATAAAACCCAGGGAAAAGATTTACAAAGGATCCTAAAATAAAGAATCCCGAGGGTCCAGGAGGGAGAGGAGGGAGGAATATGTGAGACCAATCCTTCCTCACCCTTCTCCAGCCCTCCCACCCTCCCAGCTCAGAGCATTCACACTTAATCACTGCTCCACTGGTATTTCCATTTTCTCTGAAATTGGGAAGAGGGGAGATCATCTATGAGATGGCAGAAGGAATGGAGTCAGGGGGGAATGGATAGTTGTGGGGCAGTATTAGGGGAAACACCAGTACAGAGAAGCTAAGTGACGGAGACTGTCCCCAGGAGAAGTGTCTCTGAGGAAAGGAGCAGAGCTTTTCAGGGCTGCAAAACGCTGACAGCTCCAGTCCACAAACCAGACAAAATGAAGACAATGGGACCTGGGATAGAATTTACAGCCATGGCAACTTTTCACTAAACTATGGACGGACAATGGTGTGTGGGAGGGTAACACTCTTTCCTCTCGTTTCTAGTGAAGGCTAGATTGTTCATCTACCTCAAATCCTATTTGTCCTTTATTTATTCCCTCACTGCCAAATGTGTTCCTCTTTATTATCTTTAAATGTCTACATCTTCAATAATTCGAGCATGTAGTTGGCTTCACAATCTTACTTTTAGTAAATCTTACTTTTATCCTTATTCTCAACTAAAATAAGTACTTTACAATTTTAATAGTTTTTAAAAATCCTTTGACATTACCTACCTGCCAAATACAAACCTTGAAGCAAAGCAATTAACCTAACAAAAAATTACTCTTAATTATTTTCGTTCCTATTTCAAATCATTTGTAATTTCTATCTACTTAATTGTGTTTAGTTCTGTGTATAACACAAAATTAATATGGACAAATTATAGAAATGTGGTTATGTGAGAATTTCCACAACTGCCTTTTCACAAGTGCTTGCCCTCATTCTCAATCTCTACTAAAATATCACACTGTTTTTTAGGAAATCACTTTTGATTCTTTTGGTGGCCCAATGTACATTCTACTTCTCCATTTCTATACTTTCGAGGGCTGTAAGAATGGTGATAAATTTTTTTATCATTTATCTGTTAAGAGGAATTCCAAAGACATGTATTAAAATAAGTAAGACACTGAGCTTTTACCCCTAATACAGGTGCTGGGGGGAAAATAAACACTTGAGTGTAACTAGGATCGTTAGTGTCAGGAGTAAAAGAAGAGAAAAAAATAAGTCAGAAATGAATTTGTGAACGATCCCATCAAGACAGAAGGGCATGGCATGGATATTTTCTTGGACCGTAGTAGAGACAATAATGAAGAAAATGATCTAAGAGAGGGAAGAGATACTGCACTTGGATTTAGGGAAAGGAAAAAGCCAGAATCAAGACAAAATAAGATGGTTTGAGCTTAAAGAAAGAGAAAGAAAGAAAAAGGAGACAAGAGAGAAAGGAAGGAAGCAAGGAACCAGAAAATTAAGAAAGCAAGCACGCAAGTAGGAAAAAAGAAAGTTTATCTCCTCACAACGCTACTGTCTGGTTGTCCAAGAACAAGTGTGAGCAGCTTGGTTTCTCTAAGACCTCTGGCTCTGCCTTTTCGCTGTGTCTTCATGTAGGCTTCCTCTTGTGAATGCTTCTGCCCTGATTTCCTCTTTTTATAAAGATGCTACACACATGACAGTAACATCTACCATAATTGCTTCATTTTAAATAAATTAACTTTTTTGAATGTCTTTTAAATACAATCGCATCCCTATTGTCTGGGCATTAGGATTTGAACATATATGTTTAATGGAGTATACAATGAAGGCCAGAACAGGATGTGCCTGTAGAACTGTTTCATTATTTCTTGGAGATAAAGAACTCCATCATATTATATACAGAGACAGAAGGTGGTAATTGATCTCAGTAAAATACCAGAATCTCTTCTGTTGAACTTAGTGGTTATTTATAGAAGACCTGAGTCAAGGATCCACCATTTGAAACCACAGATGCTATAAAGGAAAGAGAGATTCAGTTCATTTATCTGCACCTTGAATCAGTTGGGCACTGTGAAAAGGCAAAAATACTAACCCAGGCAGTGCTCTTAGGGCCTAGAGTATTTGGCTGAGTTCCCGAGGACCTTTTGCAGACCTCAAGTTGCATGAGAGATTGGGATGGGTCAATATGCTAAGGCAAATAGCTCTTTTCTTCTCTTTAATATTTATAATCAAATAATTGGCATCATGTGCCATATAATACTGGCAAGAATTATTATGAAGAGAAACTGCTCATGTTATGTATTTTAATGTTACTACAGTTTAGTCAGCTTTAGCCTTTGATATTCAGCCAACATTTTCTTCTTGGTTCTTCTTTGAGGTCAGCTTCCATGAGATCCTGAGAATGAATCTTCTGACCTTTTGGTCAGAAGGGAAAAGATATTTCAGCTAATATGTTCAACAAGTAGTAAAATTAAAATAAAATAACTTTTGAAAAATTAAATAACATCCTGGGAAGAATCCAAGGTTAATATATTAAATCTAGGGTCTGCATTAAAATGTTTCAAATTATCCTTTCCTCCATTCTGTATTCAGGAGGAAACATTCTGCTTTCCATTTTGTGTGTACAAGATGGCAGGAAGTCCAGAGGTTATTTCACATTCTAATACATCACCAATATCGTTGAAGTGATTTCTCAATTTTCTCTACTTCTTTGGAACAGTTGTGAGGAATACTCAAAAAGCGACACACATAATCTCAGTGTGGACCTGCGAATCTTTCTCTGGCTGGGATAAACCTTAATCCATGAGCACATACTCCATGGGATTCCTGTCTCTGTAGCCATATTGGGTGGTTCTCTACCTGCTCTTTGGACAAAAAAAAATCTGCTTAGAGAAATTCTAGGTAGGAATCATTTATCTGAAAAGATGACAATGAGAATTCATCAGAAAACTAAGTCTGGTGTGGTCCCAAATTTCAGACTTCCTTAAAATATTGACTAATTAGAATTTATTTCCAGAAATCATGAGTTAAGAAATGTCTAAGGATCACAAAGTATACTGCTTCCAGTGAGGAGAAACAGGAGTGCCTGAAAATACAACTCGAGGGCCTCATGCACACTGACTGTGTGAATGGCTATTTACTGCTATAAAGCCATGTTGAGCATCCCTTGGGCAGAGTGGGTGATGGGAAGCAGATCAGGTAATCTAACACTCAACTCAGTTCAGGTAAATCAAAGGTAAACTCGGAGGGGTAACTGAGTGACTTCCAAATTGGATAACAACAGACGAGAGATTTTTGAAGAGAGTTTAAATATTTTTTCAGCAAAATAAAATCCAGACACTAAACCAGTAGGATGGAAAGGAGAGGACAGAATGAGAACAGGAATGAATATTGTAGAACACAACCCATCCCGTTAAGCAGTCACCAACCAGAAACATTTTAATGTTTAGAATATGAAGCTGTCCTTGTACAAGATGGGTTGGTTAAGCTATGAGTGACGTTTCCAAATCTTTAACTGACCTCCCCAAATCTCTAAACAACCTGTTTTTCTCCCAGAAGAGTGAAAGAAGTAACGTCTTCTAACAGAAATATTGATGACTTTCCAAATAGAGATAATCTGCAAAGCCTCAGTCTACTGCCTAGCACTTAGTAGATATGAAATAAATTGTGATTATATTATTATTTAAAAATAATTTTGTTGGTTTTTTCCAGTTCATAATGATTTTGGAATAAGGTGCAGAATGTAACTCTCATGCCCAGCACTAAATGCTGTTACATGCAGATTATGTTGGCAATGAATTTCTCGCTGCCCTCTCCCACACCCTTTCAGGTTCGTACAGGCCAATTTAGGAGCATATATGGAAACTGTCACACAGAAAATAGAAAACCGCTGGACACATAGGGCTGTAACTGTGGTACATAAACTGCTTTAAGACTGTAACAACAAAAAGCAGCTTAATAATATATGTGAAATTAGAAATAGACATCTTTAGACAGTCTAGTGAAAGGGTCTTCCTTAGAGTAAAAAGACAGCTTGAAGCTGCCCATCACAAATGAAAGGAGGAGGCAGAGACATAAACACATTTATACCTCTCTTCAGTTAAAGAAAAATAGACCAACTTTACCATGTAGATTTCCTTGACAGACATATTTTGTTAGGAGACCAGTGATCATATTTCCCTGGATGTTCCATGAAGTGTCTTTGATTTTAGGAGACAGGTCTGTGATCATTACAGAATTTAATTGTCCTTCTAAAAATAATCATTTGACTATTTGATAATGTCATGACTTTGTTCAGTGTTTTTTTTTGGGGGGGGGACTCACCAATAATGAAAATAATCACCATATCCTGCAAGTGTGTCTAAACTGTAGCCCATAAACTGCCTGCCCTCTTTTATAAGGCTTGTAATAAAAAAAAGGAAAGGAAATTTTGTTAGCTATGTACTTCAACTATGTCATACATTTTATATGCAGCCAAAGACAATTCCTCTTCACTCAGTGTAGCACAGACAAAGCAAAACGGTTGGACATAAATATTTGTGTCTATTTTTACTCCACTATCATTTGTTAGTGTTTTCCAGAGCACACCTTGTTCCAACCATTGAAAATTTGTGGCTGGCCTAAATTGCTGCAAGGCAGCTGTTAATTTTTACCAGGTAAATTTGATGCACAGAGCAGTACCTGAGACGGAAAGTTACACACAATCCATAAAGGAGGACTATGTGTAACCTGAAGGGATCACCCAGTCGCTGTAGCTTTCTGGTAGCCAGGAGGTGATTGTTGTTGTGGACTTACAGTGAGGGCTGAAAGCTACAGATAACTCAAAGACCTTGATTTTGTGTATTTCTTATTCACTTGTGGGAATTGGAAACTGACAGGAGTGATATGTTTTGGGGAAGAGGAGGTTGGGGGCAGCAGGGTGAAGATGCTCTTGGGGTGCTGGAGAGAAAGCACAAAGGATTGACACTTCCTTTCCCGATTCAAGTTGTTTTAGATCCTGCAGAAACAGCAATCTGCAAAGTGTGATTCAGTGTTAATTCAGATAAGATAAGTGAATCATAAAGAGCTTGAAAAATAAGATTATGAAAACAAAGGTAGGGTAGCTTGATACCAAGAGCTCAGCGATGTTCTTTTGCAATTTAATCCCTCCCACATGTCTAGATTATCCATCCCCGTGGTATATTTCTTCTGTTTTGCTTGCTGAATGAGGGAACTCTTTAGTTTCACTCCTCATACTAAAATATGAATCAGATACTCAAGATAGTTTTCCTTTCTTTCAAGGTGTCCTTTCTTCTGACACTTTTTCATCTAAGCTCACTCCTCAAAGCACACCTGTCTCCCACAAGCCTCATATTATTCTAAGTTAAAAAATCTGCTTTGCAGAGGATACTTTCTCAAGGTTTCACCAAGAAGTCCAGAAGAACGCAGGGAACTTACGATAGGTGGTGTCCAAATCTCCAACAGCAAAAACAGCCATGGTGCGTCTTGAAGGATCAACTCGGCGATGTTTCAGCCAGTGATGGAGACAGAAGAACAATACTCCACAGATAAAAGTCATGAAGAGAATCAGAAACAGTAACCTGATGCCAAAAGTAGCAGGGGAGAAATGAGGTAGCACATGTGAGAAGTTACAATTTGCTGTTACTTCCTGGAAAGTGGACAAGGACTGAGGGAGTGTAGGTTCAAGCAAACCAGAATGCTGAATTCTTTCACCAGTCTCTCCCTCTAAAATGGCCACTGGATTTGCAGTATGGCTTCCCTCAGGGAGGGTTGATCTTACCAAATGGGATAACCGCTTCTTCCTGGAAATTGGAAGGTTATTTTTGATTCCCTCCTCCCTCTCCTCATCTGTCCCTCCATTCCTTCCTTTCAGTAAGTAACCTTTCCATCCACCCATTCCATTTGTATTCAAGCAAGAAAACATATTTTAGATGTTAGACTGGGGATTTGAACATTGAAAAGATGAGTCTTTGTCTTTGAGAAGCTAGTTATCGAATTGATACAATTGATAATATTAAATTTGGAAAATATCAAAGCCGTGTTTAGGAAGCTATAACAGATGTCTTCAAATTTCTGATAGGCTATCTTGTAAATAAGGTGGATGCTTATTTTGAGTATTTTTTACAACTATATGTGGAATCAGTGGATAAATTATTAAGAAAGATTACAAGAGAAGAAACATTCATTTTACCACCACCCATCTCCAACTCTGAAATATGATCTTATCCATATGTACAGTTAAGTTTCCTGGTATAAGATACTTTTAAGAAAACACTGACCAACAACCTAAGAGTGATTTTTTAATAGATATTGCTTTATGGGATCCTTAAAATTTCTATATTCTGTATGATTCCACACAGTGTTTCTGATTATTTAGGAAGACAAGTAGAGAATATCTTTACCATATGAACAAGTTTAGGGTGCTGACCTTTACACTTACACACCTGGTGATAAGGGAAGAAGAGTAAGTACTCTATTTCTTTGGGGCCCTAACGTGTACTTGCCACACTTGTTTACCCAGAAAATCACCTGTTTGCTCCTCTAAACCACTCAGATACATCTTTTCTTACTACAACCAATAAAACATCTCCCTTTACCCACTCTCTTCAAGACACTGAGAATATAGGTAAATTTGAAACCCTGAGATGTGTAAACAGATAACTTTACCATAATAGGCTTGAGTCTAGAATTATACATACTTTTGTGCACTGAGAAGGTAGTGACTAACTTTAGGGCCAATATATTCTAGTAATTAGATAATTATTCCACAATTCTTTTATCCAAATATCTGGAGTCCTTAAAAATTCTAACACACTAGTGAAGGTTAATCTTTAATAGCTTGGTAAAGGATAACAAGCATTGGACAATTTGTTGGTTTCAGTTGAACAAGTGACAAAGAAGTTAGGTTGGGAAGGAAACAGGTATGGGGTCACCCACACCATTGAAAGGAGTTACAAACTGACTACTCAGAGTGAAGAAACCACGTATGTAGGCAGAACCCAATCATTCCAGAAATAAGCTTAAAAGGTAATACCAACACAAGGTTCACAGTAGATTTACCTCTCCAAGTATGGAGATGAATGTGTTCTTCATCTCGGGGTCCTTCACTGTGGGCAATGTGGGTGAATTTCTTTGAGACTATAGCATACGACCACAATTAAAAAAGTGCTGGATTGAAAAGCAGAAATCTGTTCAACACATCTCCAAACCTTTTCAGTTGGGTTAGATTTAGTCATGTCTTCTTCGGTCATTGTTAACACCTAATAATTTTCAGCTTGAAAACATCCAGAAATATCAGTTAATTCATTGTTTACAATATTCCTCAGGTGGTAGCGTATCATGTCGATCATTATAATAGTGAGAAGTGGCTTTTCTTTCAACATAATGTGAACTGTCAGCTTAAAAACTGTACCCCCAAGGGGCTGGGGATTTAGCTCAGCGGCATGAGCACCTACCTTGCCAGTGTGCGGTCGCAAGTGCGATCCCTGGTACCGATAAACACGACAAAGACAAAAAAATTGTACCCCAAATATTGAAGACGAATCAGACAACAGGGATGTGTTTGCTTATTTTTGTTTCTTTTGCTTGTTCCCCCTTGAGAACCTAGGTGATTTACCAAAGTTCATTAACTACAAATGGCCGGGAACAAAATGATGACTAAAATACAGTTTTAAAAATCATCCTGAGACAAATGACCATTTAGTAGAAGATTTCCAAATGATTAACAGCACATATTACAAGTGCATATTATCCAGTCATCAAAAATAATGTAAATTTTTATTTGTGTTTGAAAGTCTTGAGCAAAACCATCTAGAGGTCTCATCCCTTATTTTGTATGGATTATTTTATGTGAATATATGTTTTCACCAAAATAACTGTCAGTTAAACATCAATGTACACCAAAGTTCCAACAGGGCTTACTTCATACGAAGACAGCATTCTAAGGAATTTTTCATTTTAATATTGAGTTTTTATAATGTATGTATATCATTTTTGTAATTAAAATGTATTAAAATACGATATTGAGGCATAAAATTCTTTAAAACATAGTGATACTTAAGATATAAATGTGGGGAAATTTTTATGTGTTCTACACCAAATAAAAAAGTGGAATTTTTAAAAAATATTTTTAATTGGCCTCTAAGCCCATTACTGGAAATAAGCATTATTTAGTCTTTCTCCACACGTAAATCTTGCTATTCTCTTTTTTAATTTCAAAATTGCATATTTAACTTCAAATGCATTCTGAATGCTTAGAACTTCCTTTCATTTCCGTCTACTTTTCGAATCATCCAGAATTGTTTCCAGGGCTATCTCCCAAACTGACGGTTCATTTTCTTTTTGAGCCCTGGGCACCCCCTGGTGGAGGTTCTCGTAAGCAACAGGATGACTGGGCACAGTGAGCTAAAGAAATGCAGTTAATCCAGGGGATTCAAAATTCCTATAAACTACGAAGGAAGGATTTTACACAGTATACGACTGACACTAGATCTGGGGCAGCACAGAGACGTCATGAGGTGGCCAACGGAGTGAAACTAGAGGGGGGTCTTCTGACTCCATATGGGCCCTTATCGCCATTTGCTCTGTTGCTTTCTCCAAGTCAATTTTTCAACCAAATATTTTGAATTCTTAAGAAACAGTGCCTGAACTGTAATACTAGTCTAATCACTCAGATGGTAAATAAGGTCTCTTCTTCCCTTGGAAGATGTGGACATGATTTGTGCTGTACATGGCTGGTTAGGCAACTAGATTTCTCTTATTCTCAGTGCTGAGAAGCCACAATCTAAAACTATAAATTGGTTAATGTGAGCAGTTCAAGGAAATGGCAGAGCTGCCCTATTCTTCCTTGCTAAAGGACAGTATTTTGTATGCTGGGCACTCTTTTAATCCATGTTTATAGCTTCGTGTGCAGTAACTCACTCTGAAACTTGTAACACAGGATTTTAATCCTCCTTGTGCAATTCGGAAAACCCAAGAATGGGAAACTTAAGTAACTTTCCCAAAGTAGCATTACTGGAAGTGGCAGAGGTAGGTTATAAGTGAAAATGGTTTGGTTTGGATTTGCGTATGTTGCCATCAAGCTAGCAACAGAACTCTAGCTGTAGCTTCACTGGACGGTGTGGAATGCTGCCCGAATTTAGTGACTAGCCCCCATGTCCTATCTGGAAATACTAAAAATATACAGAAGCAAGAGCATGGAGAATATCAGGAAGAGAGAGTAAGTCAAGAATGAGATCAGCATGGACACAAAATGTACTAAATCCCTTGTATACAATTAGAATTGCACTCCTGTTCTGGATTAAGCTTTCTAGCAGTTAACAGGGTAAGAGGAAAAGATGGGTATATAGTGTCCGCTAGAATTAGCAAAACAGACAGTGTTACTCATTAGAAATACAACTAGAGAAAAACCCGAAGAAAATTCAACGAGTTCTATAAAGAGCAAACAATAGGGGACGATGTTAACAATAGGAATAATATGTCCATGTACTCTTAAAACAAATGGAATAACAAATCTTGTGAGTTTTGTTCTTTTTAAAAATTATCCCTCAAAATAAGACAAAGTGTAGTTCAGCTACAATAACTTTGAGAGACTGATGGTTATCAAATCGGTTCATCTAAAAAATGACAGTAAATTGCATAGCACCAAGGAAAATGGGGGGACTGTAGTATCCCTTAAGTATTTCACAAAAAAATGCAATGAGTTAAATGTTGGCAACACAGTATGACTTGTGGTTAAAGTTCCAGACTTAGAACTTAGGATCAGTCCTGGGTTCAAATCTAAGCATTGTTACTTATTTGGTTTCCTCCTCTTGAACAAAATATCTAGCATCTGTGAATGACATAAGATGGTAGCACATCAAGAGGAAATTCACTACCACAATTAACTGCACACTCCTTCAAATGCATAAAGTATTATCATTTTATAAGCCATTCTTTTCATGAAAAATATTATATTGCTGTATCTCATCATAGTTACTTGCAGGGGAATAAATGGGTTATAAATTGCATACAATATTTAAATATTATACAAAACATAGTAATGCATTGTTTATGCTAAAGTGTAGTTTTTAAAATAAGATGGGCACATTACATAACAAAAAAGGAGTCAGACTAAATTGAAAGCACATTTAAATACAGCCAAGAGTACATCAGATTTTTAAAAATAGAAAATACTTCCCAATATTCTCAGAACATAGAAGATGACTAATAAAATTTCTGACTAATCAAAGACTCCCCCTCACCATAGCTTCCACTGCCTTTTACTGTTTTTTGAGTTTTTTATTTTTTCTTTTTCTATTCCCTTGCATTCGAATCCAAGTTGCCGTTTAGTGTGTTAATTTTGCACATGAAACTTGGGCAAATTACAGCCCTCTAAGTTTCTCATTTCTAAGAGACATTTGGATTAGGCCACCCTCCAGATCTCTACCTCTAATCCCACAGGGTAGTGTTACTCTTGTAGCAGTGCTGGTCAGACATGAGTATGCGTCTATTACTTGGTCAAATACCGTACTTTAAGAAGAGATAGTATTTCTAATTGAAGAAAGAATTCTAAATTAAAGTTCCATAATAAACACAGTTAAAGAAGGACAATCTTATATGGACACAAGGCTTTTATTCACTTAGGAAATAGCTGTTCTTTATATACTCATCCTGCTATCACTTTTTGTGCAAAATATTCAAGATATTTTGTGTATTTTCAAGACTTACTCCTTCTCTGTAATTCCAGACAAGGTCTTGATGTCTCTGCTATTACATGCTAATAAGTATTTGGTTAGAGGCAGTTTCTCATTTTCACTCAAGAGGAAAATAATGATAAATATAGCAGTTATTTTTATGCCCAACAGTGTAATCAGGAAAGAGGTCATGGCTGAGTATCTGTTGAAATCCTGCTATCAATTTACTATATATGTCTGGTTTTCAGTCTCTTTCCCAAAAAGAGGACTGGTAGCATCCAAGATCTATAGTCAGTGTAAAAATTTTCTCGACATAATATATTCCTACCACAATGATTAGAAAATTTGATTCAGAATTTAAGACTTTCCAATTATGGATTTCTGTGCTCTTTATTCTGAGTCCAAGGTAAAAAGCAAGTCAGTAAGGTGAGAATAACCATGAAGGCCAGAATCAGATAAACATACAAACTATCAAAATCTCTTTTAGAGCAGAAATAGCAAAAGACAGAGCAGAAAAGCAAGTCCAAAAATTATTGCAAAGAAAGAGTCATGGAGAGTCATGCAAAAGCTGAAAGAGTAGCACACACAGTGCTTAATAAAATAGAATGTCAACAGCAAAATGATCCACTACAAACCAGTGAAGGACTCCAGGGCCAAAGAAAGCACCCTGCTTGGCCTGGTCTCTCATATTCCAGCCCGTGCTACGAGCCCCGGGCTTAGAGGGTAATGGGCAATGACAATTGAAAACAGCTGGCTGGCAGAGCAAGCCGCAGCCCGAAGAAACCACTTGGCAAAAGTGCTTTCCTGACACTTGCACTAAGTCACAGTGCATTACAGTTATCATTAATCAGCAGCAGCATCATTAATGGGCAACTTCTCCCCATCGCTTGAATTTAATTCTGCGATCCATTAACATCCTCAGCGCAAAAAGCAAGAAAAAGTGAGTCTGTCATTCACATAATTCACATCAAAGGCACTTTGAAAAGTGTGCCCAATACAGGTTAGGCTCCAGGTGGGTTTGCTGATATTTGAAACTTAACTGTCCAGAAACGTACCTCTCATCCTCGCCATGACTTTAAAGAGCGGATGTAGCTATAGAGGACATCATGAGGGGAAACCAAAACAGCGCACTGAGTGAAAATATCTAGGAACTAACCGAGTCCCTTATTTGTTTAGTAAAGCTAAATAAAGAAAATTGAATTTATTTTACTTTTATTTTATTTCATTCAGTGTGTCTGTATGTTTGGGGGAATTTTATATGTATGTGATGTTTGTTTTCGGGAATTTTATGTGCATATCTATCTTGATCAGTTTCGTGTCCTTTCCGTTCCTCTTTCTTCCCGTACTTCTCCCCCAAGTCTTCATCCACATCTCCAAGCAGTCTACTTTCTTCTTTCCTATCATCTCTCTTTCCATTTCTCATTCTTTTGCTTGTCTTTTAGGTTTTTCATATACTGGGGTGATCAAAATTCACAGTGAATGTGCAAGTAAAATTGATTACAGTAAAAGAGACAGTGTGATTAATCTCCCTCAAAATCCTGATCCCTCGTTTCCGGCTTGTTCATCCCATCATTTTTACCACTCCGTGAAACAGTTCTGGAAATCCTCTTTCCTAAGAGTCTTCACAGGGTCAGCAAAAATATGGTGAATTCTGTTGTCAGCTGCCCACAGAGGAAAGACAGGCTCATGAAAACATTGTGGTGAGTTCTCGTCTGCCTTAATTCATCAGATCTGTCACTGTGCAACCTGTGGCTCCTCCCCAAAGTTAAAATGACCATGAAAGGTGAATGCTTTGAATAAGTTCTGGACATTGAGGCAGCCACAACAGTGCGACTGGGATACTTAAAAAAGGGGACTTTTAGAACTGCTCTGCAAAGTGGCAAAAATGGTGAGTGTGTTCTGAGACAGGGGAATACTCTGACGGGAATTAGATGTACTGTGTCTTCTATCATAATAATTTTTAAGTGTAAAAAAATCATCATATTTTCTACCATACTCCAAGGGTGCAATATAATATCTAATTTTGTGAAAAAGTTTATATATCGCAGGCAAAGGAAACTATCAACAGAGAAAATGAGTGGTCTACAAAATGGGGGGAAAGGTTCAGTTACTTTTCTACAGAGTACTAATATCTAGCTTATATAAAGTACTGAGAAAATTAATATCCCCAAAAAACAAACAGCCCAACCAAAAACTGGGAAAATGTGCTGAATGAAGACTTGTAAAAAGAAGTAGTTAAAAATGGGCAATACAACATGAAAAAATTCATCTTTTATGTCTTTAGAAAAATTGAGTCATCTGCATTTTAACACTTTTGTTTTTCTCACATACTTACAGTGATCATCCGGTATCTTCAGAGGCCTTTCAAAGGACTTAAAACTTTTTAATATTTTGAATTTTAATAAAAACATAGAATCTCCGGCTACTTACATTTCATTTTCTTCACACAGTAGATCCGAGAGCACCAACTGAAACACATGTTTAGAACAATAAAATCCAAACAGCTCGTCAGTGTAATCCTGGAATGCAAGCGGTGCCTAGAGACAATGGGGATTTACATCTTTTCATTTGTTTATTTTAATTAAAAGCTCCACAGACTATTTTATCATTGCTGCAGATTTTTAATTGAAAAAAAAATTCTCTGGGTAGATATTTAATCTCACCAGTGACAGGAGATGTGTATTGTGAATCAAATTCCTATTCAACACGCCACTATATGTAGATTTGAAAAGCATTTTTTTTACTTTCTCTGTAGGCAGATTTTGCTGATTCTAAAAGGTTTTGGTGCATCTTGCACTTTCTCTTGATTTTCACACTTTTGGTGGAAGAAGGGGTTTCATTAACCACCAAAAATATATTCATATAAATGAATCACACTCCCAGTATGGGAAACAGGAATCTTAAGAGTAATGGGTTCTAGGCATGAAGTGATGACTTTAATCTATTCTCAGACCAGGGTCCTGTTAAGATCACATGACATTCTGTTAAAATTTACATTGTTTTTTTATCAAACAAGGGGAGAAATAATCTTTAAGTCTCAAGACCCAATTATTTTAACAAATTATCTTAGTTCTCTGTTGAACCTTATAGGTTACAACATCTCCCACTCACAACCACAAAAAGAGAAAGTATTTCTTCTCAGAGATTTTGCTTATATTTCTTTGTTTGTTTTCACCTATGAACCAGGAAGCCTTCTGGGTACAATGAGAAAAATCTTTAAATGCCACCATTATGTAGCAATAAAAGTTGGATTGATGAGGTGAGTAAGAGCATTTATTATCCTGAACTATAACATAATTACAAGTTACAAAATTTAAAATGATAGACTTGAGGCTTTTTACTGAGAAATATACTTTCCCCTTAATCCCACATGCAACTTCTTTAGCACCTTGTATTTACACCATCAAGTTTATCTGGGCAAAGAGATTTGTGGAGTTGCAGATGGAGGCAGGAATTGGCCATCAGAGAGCATGGTAATGAACAATTTACAAGCACAGAAAACGAGTTGCATTCTTTTTTGCTAGAATACTGCAAGTAGATTTGCATACCAACAGAGGAAAACGAACATTCACATTTTATTCATAAGAAAGTTTATTTATGAGTAGGTGAAATCATTTGGGATCTAGCTTAACAGAAAACCAAATAAAGATCACAATTCACTTTCAGTTCACTTCCTGGTATTGTCTGCATGTTGTACCACAGCAAGAAATACACTGTGTTTCATTAATACCACCTAACTGCCAATGCCTTACCTGTCAACACCTCCATTATTAGAAAACCTCAAGTGAAGTCTTTCTATGCTTTGATTCTAAATCTTTCTGGTATATTACATTGAAGTTACATAGGCACAAGGATGCAGAAATTGCTCAGGAAAGGATGCTGGAGCAGGAAAGCAAAGAAACCCTAAAATGGATATGTCTACCTAAGTCAGCATTAAAAACCTGTCAGTGAATCAAGCATGGTTGCACGGAACAGCAAATATTTCTTAAATTAATTCAGCCACAGCACCTTGTTCTGTGTCAATAGCATTTTTGATTTCTAAAAAGTTTCATAGCATAGTAAAGTGAAGTAAAGGTTAAATTTGCATTGCATTATTTCAATAGCGATAGAACAGTATAAAGAAGATATAAAGCTAATGTCATGGATATTTTGTTTTCAATATCCCCGAGCGATAAATATTATAGATCATAAAAATGCAGATAACACCTTCTTAAAATAAATCTTTTAAATATAGAAGTAGTTATGATGCCCAGAAAATAAATCTATAACAAATCAAGTTCTCAGAGTATTTCAGAAAATCTCCCAGAAAGAGAGATGGTTACCTGGAATAGTTGAAAACACCAGGTCTCCGTTGATGAGATCACTAAGGTGACACTGAATGGTCTGAGTCTTGATGTACTTAATTCATGATGTGCTTAGAGATAGTGGTTTGCTGACTCTGGTGATCTCTGTCTTTCGCAGTACTTGTTGATTTCTCTGCCTATCTTCCTACCAGAGCATGCATCCAGTGATAGTCCTTGTGACTGGTGAAGTGCATGCCAGGGGAAAGAATGTCAGGTGCAAGCTCGTGGGCATAGAAGTTCAAGGAGTTTAAGTTTAAGGTCAGAACTCTGGGCACTGTTTGTTTGAGGCTCTCTAAAGTAGGGGTTATAAATGTTGACCTGCAGAGCTAGCTGACTGCTTAAGTAAATTTTAAAATTCAAGTGCATGTTTTCTAAAAAAATGTAGTTCTAATGGAATCTTACATTTGGAATATATGTTTGGTTTTCTACCCTTTGTGGATCCCCCTTTTTCTTTTTGTTCTACACATTATTTTTACCCTCAGATCTAAACCAGCCTTAAGTTTACAGTTACCAGATCAGCAGTGTTCAGACTTTGATAATGTGGTAGGAAGGGATAAACACAGGGAAATAACCTTTTCATGTGCAATTGAGAAAAGTGTATTACTTCTTTAGAACACAATTAGGTTATATCTATTAAATTAAAAATAAATCTGTCATCCAAGAATTCTCCTTCTCAAAATGTATCCACAGATATTGATTATACAAAGGGTAAAAATAATCATACACAGAGACAGGCACTAGAATCACAAAGTCCACCAAGATATAACTGGATAAATACAAAATGGTTGTTTATAACTATTCAACACAGTACTCGGAAGCCCTGGTGTTGATCTCACAGGATTATGATCACGGAGGATCATAGAAGCTAATATGAAGAGGTCTCTAGCGTTTCATCTATAAAAGGAAAATGAGAGACAAATTTTAAAAATTGGAAATCTAGCTATTTATATCATATATACACAATATATGTATAGATATATAGAAATGTCTATATGTCATTTAATCATTTTATATTTCTGAGGCCAATTTTGAAGCCAAACATGTAGAATTTCAAAGAAGCATATTGTAGTTCGAACCCTAGTATAATTCACTAAATTCAAATCAAATTGTGACACAGGAACCCATTTATGACCACATACGTGGACTGCATTAGGAAGAAACGAGCCATATTAGCTAACTAAACTACAGCTCTGAGTCAGCCCGTAAGGTATAGGGATTATTTGGGCTGCATCTGGATGGAGTACACAGCCTGTGTGGTGCTCACGGTCTGATTAGTATGCAGCCGCAGTCACAGCCATGAATGTCAGAGCAGAGGAGGGCTTGGTGCCAATGCCAACAGGAGAAAAGTAAACCGAGCCTACGGCATTATTTGTCGCTGAGACACCCTCCATTTTGAGTGTCTCCGAAGCCTGTAATTAAACAGAATGAAAAATAGGCTTTTCACTGGTGAATTTATTTATTAGTCAGTCAGAAGCTTGACTTCCGTCAGCAGAGTCAGTGATCTTAAGGATTTCTGGGAAAAGAAGGGAAGGCCAGATGACTGGGAAAGAGACAGAAGGGAAACCAGGGGCAGCGTGTTTGGTTTAGCCTTAGAAATCTGAATGATGACTGAGAAGACACATAGATTAAATAGTTCTTGGCAAAATATGCAGAATCCTGCAGCAGGTGCCTGACCAGGAGCACAGCAACCAGGTGGAGGTGGTGTCTGCGCTCATACTAACTGCAAATGCCGTTATTATGTTTGGTGCTAAAATAAAAATTATATTCATTACTACCTTGTCTTCTTCCCAAGGTGCCATTTCCCCATTTATTTCTCTAATGTCCCCTGCCACTTCCCAATGCTTGGCAGATTTTGCATGGCAGATTTTACCTATAATACTAGTGTCTCTAATACATTCTCTCTCTTGTATCAGGACATTTTGATGACCTTGGTAAAAAAACAAAAATAGAAGTCTGATATGAGTACTGTTTTACTTGCATTATTTTTATCTTTTCATTTTAAAATAACTATAGATTCACGTATAGTATTAAATATTAATACAGATTGTATTCAACTTGATCCAGTTCTCACCAAAGGTATTAATACCTTGCCCATCTATTGTACAATATTACAGTGAGAAAGCTGACCCTGATACAGTTCAGAAGCCACATAAATTTTGTAGTTTATACTTTAACATTTAAAGTTTTTTCCTAGTTATGTTTCTGCAACCATGGGCTTCTACACCAGAACTTGTGATAGTGAATTCTCATCACTGGAAAGCCAACTTGAAGATACAATTGCTATAATGTTAATAAGGTCACTTAAGTCCATGAGGATTTCTCATGCTTGAATTTAAGGGTCAGTGGAAGAAAAAAAATCTAAAAAAGAATCAGGGAAAAGAAGAAAGGTGGGTGAGTTATGAAGATATGTGAAACTAAACACTGAGGTTTGTTTGACCACGGGGACACTGAGCCTCGTATCCTGATCTTTCTAACAGGAGCATGGCACATGTATGTTCACCTGTTGGGTGCTGGTCGTTTACCCAGGGCTTCTCTTTTCTAAGAGGAATTAGATCCTGCAGCAATGGACAGGGATCAGGAGATGGGAAAACTGTCCTTTGACAAAAGTCCACATTTTCTTCTCTGAAGTCATATTGATATTTGTCCTTAAAGGTCATGGCATACAACTGTTCAAAAGGAACCAGGGGCCAAAATGCAAGGCATTAAGTCAGAATAAATAAAAGGCATGAGTGGAAGTGGCACACAAGAAAGAAGAACCAACAAGGAGGTGTTATTACTCTATTTAGGAAAACTGATGGTGTGGGGAAGAGTTCTAGTAGTTGCAAGATGATTGCTGAAATCACCACTAACCAGAATTTATGTTCTCTGAAATTGTATTTCCTAAAGTGATAATAATTTCATTTAACCTTCCTTATATAATTTCACCTTAAAATATATTAAATTGAAAATATCAACATAAATCTTATATTGCACAAATATGAGGAATTGATTAACACGCCAAAAATAAAATAAAATGATAAAATAGATTCCAACATCAGTTCAGGGATCCATAGAAATTATAGGAGCTGGCTTATGGTAAGAAGGGCTTAAAATGATATAATGATGCAACATGCTGTGATAAGCCAATGAGAAGAAATATTGATCACATTGCTAAAATGATGAACAATTGTAAGTTTTCCTTCTATTTCAAGGATCAGTCTACATTTGTTTTCTTCCTTTAAATATTTTCCTCTCTTGGTTTCCAGAACAATATATTTCCTGATTTTCCTCCCATTTTAATAACATTTTTCTCTGTCGTCCCAGGATTGACATGATAGGAGAGCCCTCAAAGGCTCAGTCCTCAGACGCCTGTCTTTTCTGTACACATCCTATCAGGGATGCCACTTAGTCTCATAAGCTGTCATAAAGAAACTGACCAACCTCAGATTATTCATTCAATCTAGTTCTCTTCCTCTGAACTATATAATCAGCTGCCAAAGTGATACAACAATTTGAATGTCTATGAGGCTTTTGCAAATAACCTGCCTTCAAAAACACAGTGAACCTGCCTCTGATCTATCCATCTCTCCTCTGCTCTTTTTCCCAACAGATTTTCCCCATGTTGGAAAATAATATTTTCTTATGATTATTCAAATCACAGAGACTTGTAACAATTTTTGACTTCTCTCTTCTCTCTCACAACACTTCCAGTCAGAAAATCTTGAAGCCTAGACTTTCACAATACACGCAGACGTCTACTCTTAAGTTTTCGCCTGTGTTATTCACCAGTAACCATTACCAGTCACTGCAGTTACTGTAGTAGCTTGTGAGCAGGTAATTCTGTTGCACACTTTCTTGGCTACAAATTGCACTAATATACTAACCAAAGAAACGTTCTTAACTGTAAGTCAAATCCTGTTGCATCTCTGTGCAAAACTACCAAGGAGTTCATTTCCCTCAATATGGAACAAAAGCTATCCCTGCAGTGGCTTACAGAGCCTCGTAAGGTCTATTCTCTTCCTGTTATGGGTTAGAAACAGATGATCAACTTAAAACCAGCTGAATTAAAACACCATGGTGCTGAGCATAGATGTTCCACGTGAGGAAAGTTGCCAGCATAAATAGAAATGTGGAAAAGAGCGAGACGTTGTAGGTTTCACTAAGTGTTGCTGTTTGAGCCTTTGGCTCTCCTGGAGGAGCTCTGGTCTTTATATCAAGCATCACTTCCTGGCTCCAGAGGGGAAGATGTGTGGTGTTTGATCTCTAGGACAGACTCCACACACTGGCCTCCTGGCATGTACTCGACTGTGCTTATCGTTGGAGGAGCTCAGGACCTCTGTGTCACTGAGGATGGCTGTGGTGCCTTTTAGGACAGCCCTGGTCTTTGTTGTGAGTGTGACTTCTTGGCTCCAGTGTAGAACCCTCAATCTACCTGCACAGCTACTATCGTTGGAGGAGCTCAGGATCTCTGTGTCACTGAGGATGGCTGTGGTGCCTTTTAAGACAGCCCTGGTCTTTGTTGTGAGTGTGACTTCTTAGCTCCAGTGTAGAACCCTCAATCTACCTGCACAGCTACCATCCCACTGGAATGGACTTTCTAGCTTCCACCACTGATCTTTGAGCCTTCCCAGCATGGATCCATATGAGACTGGCGTGAGTCCTTCTTATGGGCTCTGGACCTCCAGCTGGACTTGTGGAAGGCATTGTCATGGGCTCTAAGTTTCCATCTGGACTCCCATGGGGCATTGCTGTGGGATCCAGGCCCTTGGCTGAATATTCTATGTCTTTGGTGTTGTGGACAGATTTCCTGCATTTTCTTGTGTTAACTCTGAGTGACCATCATAAAATAATAGTACGAGTATTGTGTCCTGTTCCAATAGTTCTCCTCATAACCCCTGACTACAACACTTCCCTTTCTGATGTCATATCCTGCTGACCTTTAGGCTCATTCTGGGCCAGGTACATTGGCCTCTATGCTTTCTCTTTAATATCTCAGGCATTCTCCTGCCTCAGGGTCTTTGCTCTTTCCACTGTCTGAAAATCACCTTTTCCTTTATCTCTCAGGCTTACAGCCTTTTAAAAATCCTTGATAAAATGCCATATGCTGAATAAAATTTTTGCTGACCATTTTATTTGACTTTGGACAACTTTCTGTACAGCTAACACTTCTTGTCCTCTTTGGTAATTCATGCATTTGAGAGAATTTTGGAAAACGCTTATTTATAATACTACATGAAAGAAGTTTTTGTTTTTCTCCCTTCTCTTCAATGTGAAATTCATTCCTAAAGGAGCTCTTGCCTGTTTTATTCTCTGTGTATCTCCACTACATGGACTGGTGCCCTTCACATA